AAGCTGAGAGTTTGTACAATATATGTTTTTTTTTTCTAGAGTAAAATATGCAGGAGTTTCAGCATTTGCAGGTTGTAAGCTTGGAAATCTCAAAGTTGGAGCTGAGTCTGTTTTTTGTTTCTTTTTTTGTTTTATCAAAGTTGGTTGTGGGAAGCAAGTCTCAACTGGCGACTGTCGATGTTTTTTGGGGGAAGCAACTGACAGCAATATTCGTCCCAGTCCCGGTCCCTTGAGCAACACAGCAGGGGGATCTCAAGCAACAAACAACGATGGAATATTATGAAGCAACCATAACTGGTTGGTGGTTTCAACCCCTCTGAAAAAAATAAGCCAGTTGGGATTATTATTCCCAATATATGGAAAAATAAAACATGTTCCAAACCACCAACCAAACATGTTATGTTGGTTGGTTACAGTACATATATAAGTTAAACATTCAACCATGTTTAACAAGTTCAATTTGATATCTTGATATGACCACAAATAACCGACATTCTTGTCCAGCAAATCTCTTGGAAGGCATGGAACAAATTCTCTTGCAACCAGTGGAAGTTGAATGGATTTTCGGATGAAGCCACTGTACAAATTTGTGACAAATTGAAGGCCCAGGAGCCAATGCACCTAGTACCTCGATTTATCCATGGAAAATACATTGTGAAACCCCATATTCGTTGTGAACCCCTTCCTATAGGTAGATTGAGGGTCTAAGAATATTCATCTTATGGCCTAGGAAATAAAGTATAAATACTATTCAGCTAGTGGATATGATTATTTCACAGACTCATCATTATTGCAACTCTCATTATTATTGCCATTGTCATTAATATCAGCATAGGTGTTGGCATATTTTTACCATTGTAGTCATTATTGATGTGGTTCTTGCTATCATTGTTATTACTCCTATAAATTTACAAGTATAGTATATGCATTTATATAATTAATGAACAAAAACATGACATCATCATGAACCGAGGGTGTCAGGCCATCACCAAGGTGCCATGGGAACACCGATGGATCGGCAGGGTGTCGTCACAACCGAAATACATACAGCAACAAAAATCGAAGTCACTTGAGGCATCACGACTCACTGGCGTTCGAGTTTAATTCAATTCTATCCAAAAAAAATATGGAGCCAAAGAATGATGAACAAATCTTGCTGGTCTCTTCGTACCTGTTCTCGACCTGTACTATACCTACTTCCTCTCCGAGTCTTCCAGTGTTTCCATGGGCCTGCGGAAAGACACAGAATAATTGTGTCTGTAGCCGGTGTTTTTTTTGTGCATTGACATCGCCACTTGCGCGGCGGCTGATGCTGACAGTGCACCAGAGAGAATGGGCATCAAGTTGCAATGCCAATTTCAATATTGGTATTTTTTGGTCAATTCTTGAAAATCCATGAACTACCCGTACCAAGGAGACAAAATTGAGATACATGATGCAACTTTCAATGCAATATATTGCAATAGCAAACAAACCCCTTCTGTTGCACTTTAAAAGTCAAACGTCTTAGCACCAAGTACAGCAATATCATACCCTGTTACCATGCGGGTTAAGGTTGCAATACCAACGTTAAATCTGTGCAGTTTGGGCTGGTTGGTATCCCAAAAAAATGGTTTCTCTGAAGAATAAATTTGGCCGCCAGATCTCTGGCTGTTAATAAGGAGTTTGCCCATGGGAGTATAAGACTCCAAAATCCGATCGGGAGATATCATGGGAGATAACCAATGCTTTTATTTCTCGTTTGTCCAAACATCAAATATACCCAAAATACCAGCGTAAACACGCTCTGTTTAAAATGAGTTCAAAACATATCATTAGGGGAAACATTGTTTGAGACCATATCTCATTTATTTATGTGCATGCACGTAGATTCAACGCATATTTTCATGAATATATATTCAATTAACATCGATCAACTTCATATTTCCAACCCAAATCATGGTAAATATATATATATATATAATGTTTTGTAAAGGCAAACTTGACACATGGAACTTTGCCAACCGTATTTTTGTTGTTCCAAACATGTGATGCGTCTCAAACAATCTCAAACATATTGAACACCTGATGGCCAACCAATTCTCCCCGGGGCGCGTTCGTTTGTGCAGTTTGAGCACTGGGACCCGGTCTCTGCGATGCTATGTCTAGACAAGTTGTGGCTGGTACACCCAGCCATTCAATGCTTGGCACAAAAAACTCATGGCCAGAAAATCTATGGAATGGAGTTTTTTGTTAAGTTGATTCTAATTGCCAGAAAGTAACGCAAAATACATGAAAATACCATTTAAACGTAGGTTTTTTTATGAGAAAATAAACTATACATGGTAGTTTTCCAGCAAGCCAGCAAGCTATGTTGCATTCCCGGATGGTATAATGAAAAAAAAACATGGTTTCCTGTTCAGATGTTACAGATGCCCAAGGCGATCAGCCGGTGGAGAAGGTGGTGATGATCCCCGTATGACTTCGGCGGCCAACCTGGTTGCAGCTTGCCACTGCTTGTGCTGATTTATGATAGCTAAGGGGGTGAACATAAGTACGGACTTATAATATGCTGTATAAATATGTGTAATTATATATATATATATCGAACTATATAGTTGGGTTATACTAATATTATACAGCAACATAACTGTGACACCACATTGATACAAGTTGGGTCCCAGTCTTAAGTCTAGAATTCTATATATATATAAATATATATATATCTACAATAAGCATCCCCCTTTGAACCACGTGGAAACATTGCAGTCCAAAATTCTAATGGACTGAAGCCGGAGGAGTATTCCCCCTCTACGGAATGAGAAATCATATATTTCTGCGACAAAGTATTCCCCACATCAGAGCAAGGTTTATACCTATATATTCCCCTGTTCATATTCATCAATATTCATCAATATTCATCAATATTCATCATGGTTTCCCAGGGAAAACTGAGCGAATCCACCGGGTTCATTTCCACCTGCTTCATCCCCAAACCATAGAACTTCTCCGTTGATCCCCACACCGTTCAATTCCCGGAAACGTACATCATCGCCGAGGCAGAGCGCGTACCGTCCATCACCTGAAGATCTGCACTAAACTGCATGGAACACCGGGTAAATCCCGTCCTGATATGGAACACCTAAACGAAACCTTGGTTTAGTGGGTGAAATTCCATAGAAATTGGGACCATTTAAGGATTGAAAAAAAAGGGATGGGATTAAATAGTAAAGTAAAGAAGCTTACTGGTGGAAATATTTGGAAATATCTAGAATTTCCGGAGTATACCTTGATAATTGGATGTAATCGGGGTATAGCCTGTGGGTACAGAGCTATGGAAAGTCACTATTCTTTCCAGGTAAATCCTTTATAAACGCTCCGTTTTCTAAAGCTATGTTAAACTACCAAAGGGATCCAGAGGGTATATAACCAAGCAGATTTTCTGGTAGGAAAATCTGTAAATTCCTGGATATAGAATCATATACTCAAGGAAATCTAACTTGCTGTACTTGGAAAACAGGGTCAGGGGTAACCGCAAATCGGGCTTCATCACTGTCTTTCACTTTTAAATTGGACCTTCCCATGAACAAATGAAGGTCACCAACCACTTATACACATCCTATCAAATATTCCACATGTACCACCAATTCGTGTGATCATCAAGTTGTATACTTGGATATGCATATCACATGAAACATATTGCAACTGGTGAAACTGGTCATATCCCGTTGCTATACTTGGTTATAACTCAACTATATATATATATATTATAAATATAAATGCTATGTCAGCACTTGCGATTCCTACCCCACCAAATCCCATTTGCCACGCGGCCCAATGCCAAACATAATAAAAATGGTCATGAACTGAGACCCATTCGAACAGCATCGGGATCATCGCAGTGTTCTGCCCAATGCCCAATATCTATTGTGTAGGTACATACGGTATATATATATATTTATCAATAAATAGATATCAGTAATATACATGCAATCAAATCCGACACATTTGGGCGGCGCTCATTTATATTTCATAATGACACATTTACAATACTTGGAACACATATTATATATATATATGGATGTTTCCAAAAAATAGGGGTACCCCAAATCATCTATTTTAGGAGTATTTTCCATCAACAATCCATTTGGGGGTAGGAAACCACTGTCGCGCCTCCCAGGATCCTTTTCGCTCGTCCTTGCTCCACCAGGCGCGGCGTTCGGACATGCCCATGCCCAACGTCTGCGGTGACACGGAAATAGGAACGGATGGGATGGGAAGAGGATGGGAAGAGGATGGGAAGAGGTATTTATAGAGTTGTTCGAAAATGAGGTGTTTCACTGTCTTTCTGCAAGAACAACTGGGAGATATAAGAAACAGTAACATGATTTTTGGAACAGTGATGCCACAGTAACAGTATCATGTATCATGTATATCCCAAAAATATAGCAACAGTTTCTCGCGACTCGTAACTTACGATTTTTGGATTTGATCCAACATCCAACGGGAGGATATGGGAAACACGATTGGTAAGCGATTTTCCCAGAATCGCCATGGAACTTGAACAAGGGACAAGTCAGGGGACTAAGTGACCAGGTCATGTCCCATTCTCAGGGGAGGGAAAATGATGATCTCAATCATGATCAGTTGGAATTTCCCGAACATGATAAGAAATCTAAGAACCCCAATCATTCACAGTCAAGGATAAAACCAACAAAATTTCCTAATCATCTCAAACATGTTGAGCCCCACAACCGGATGGCTTCATCCTATGAAAAGCCACTTGGAGGCCCAGGGAAGCCAAGGTGACCTTTGCAACGAGGTGCTTCCCCCCGAATTTCAACGGGGTGGTTAGGTGTCTGATGATAGAAAAATATTATCATATATAAATATATATATACATATATATATATATATAATGAGATCATATAATTGGTAATAATCAATAAGAAAAACAAATTATACACATCATAACGTCCTTGAAGTTCGATTCAGCATAGATGGTCAGTCACTTTTTCCTT